TTGTGAAACGCTTGGATGAACAGCTAACCGTTGCTATCGTTGTCAACTTGGGCATCGCCATTAGCTGCAGCGTCTGCAAAATCATCGAAGAGATCGTCCTCGCCATCTGACCACATATCTGCTGTAAAACAAGAAAGAGCTGGATCCTGTTAAAGCAGAAGTTCTCTGCTTTCGCTGTAGCTAAGAAAAAAATAGTTAATTTTATTTGAACAGCGCTGATATTGTTACCAAAGAACGGCCAACAAATAGCGACAATTTTAGCCTTTTTTGGCTTTGATTTTGTAGCGAATTTAGTAAATAAACAGATTTTCTTCAAGCGCAAGATTTACGGAAACAATACATATTAAATGTGTAAAACCCTCTACCTGTCAGCAATCCACTCTATTTCAAACCTTCACAAGATAGTTTGTAACTAAACAGAGTACGGTGAATAATTTCCCGGAAGAATTCTTGTCAATGTAATGGGAAAGACTAAAACATGGTTCAAAAATGTACGTTAACTCCTTTGTCGACTGCTAGAATTTTCAGTTGAAAGCTCGACTTCAAAAATTTTTCTTATCCGCGCAATCATGGTGCGTTGATTGACATCGTAGCGCGAAAATACTAACTGAATATTGGAATTTAATTTTGGAATTTTTCATAACAATTTACAACAGATTTAAGAGGCAAATTGTTTACGAGCAAAGACAAATTTGGCGATTTTCCGCAATTTTTTGTCGAAAAAGTACATCCGTTTTTTAAAAGAAGAGCGAGCTCTCTTACGGATCACGAAATCCTGTCTGGATTTCCTCACGAACATTATGGACTGTTGGAACACGGGATATGCGACAACATGAAAATCACAGTAGAAACCGAAATTTACCTATAAAACAATTACCATTTTAGTATCACTTTATCCTCAAGTAAGGCCAATCTCACAAGTGTGATGATTTCTCACATTTATTCTCATCTCTTCCATGGGAACTTTGCAGTACGATCTTCCGCATCGTTGCAGTAAAAAGTCCAGATCGAACTGATCTTGATAGCCGAGTTTGTCTTGTATCCTAGAAAGAACGTAAAGACAATCAAGTCGTCTCCTGATGAAATTAAATGGTAGCTATCGAGTATAAATTTTTTCCTATTAACGAATAGTTTGTATATACGACTCTCCCCTTTCCTGCTAATTTATTCTGAAGGCTCCGGTACTCTACTACTCGCCGCTAGGCAAACAAATTCAAGAGCCTTTTACGCTGAATACTTACAATCACTCCAGGTCTTTCAAAGCAACTGTGCGCCACAAAATGCACTTGTAATAATCAAGCATGCTTAGAAGCAAATCAACAGCACTACCTTACACTATACTCATATGGGATCTTCCGTTTCCAACCGATCGTGCATGATGTCAAAAACTACTCCAATGACAACTTCAGACAGTATCTGCTATCGCCTAAACGAGAAAGAAAGAACTCTTTCGTTTCACCTTGATAAGGCTATAGTATCAAACAAATACACTTCGTTCTAGAGGGAGCTGCTACTCTTATTGAACGGCATTCTCCATGTCAGTGGCCAACAATTTCGAATGAAA